ATATTGGATAAAATTTTGTATGAAGTTGATAGCAGTGATATCCCCCGATAATTACTTCATTCAGGTTTATCACTCTTTTTGTAAACTTGCATAATAATAGACTCCTTTCACTGATCAGGCAATTTTTACTTATTCCAAATAGAATTAATTAGTTTATGGATCTTAGAACATAATATTTCACTTATTGCTTGAATCAGTTACACAGGAATTTGAGCACTACATACCGATTTATACTCGTACATTTCCAATTTCAACTGCATGTATTTCTATCTGCTTAACATCATTGGCCCTATGAACATTCAGTAACCGAGAGAAATATTTCTTTCATTTATTCAAAATATTGTGGGAACCTGCCACGTGTATTAGTTTGGATTGGTAAACGGATCTATTGATCAATCAGAAGTCGTAAGTATAACTAAGTATAACGCTCTTACCTGTCACTTCACATTGAATTTTCTCAGTGTGCTTTTACTAGCCTTCACTGTCCGTTTCCTAGCAACGGATTTATCACAGTCTCACCGTAACTTTAAATATGACTGTAACTAAAGCACATGTACAGTCTTCTTGGCACAGTCTGACTCCTTCCTATCACCTTCGACTGCCGACTCCTTAAACTCCGATCTCCGACTCTGTCTAGCCGGTCTGGGTTTCTGCTTATATAGCCTCGGGTAGGACCATAACACAGAAAACGCATTCATTGCCTAGCAATAGACGTCCTCTATTGTTGCGTATTCGTTGGAACTTGTTTACCGAGTCATTGCTTAACAATGGGCATGGCGCGAACCCACATAGGAAACACCTCTTGCAACACCTGTTCTATTTATACGTGTGTGTATTGAGGCCTTGCCTAGCAATGGGTCTCCTCTATTGTTGGTTGCTTATTTATTGCGATTTTGTTTACTGAGTCGTTAGGCATGATCTGCTCTGTAAAGCCTGTACTGAAAGAGGACTTTTGTGTAGTGCAAAAGGAAGAATTTTCAATAATATATTATATGTAGGAAATTTGACGGAAAGCCAAGCGTATTCATGAGAGATAAACCCATCTTCTTGTTAGAGAGGATGTTATATAAGGACTGTTATCGCAAGAGTTCAGTTGGAAAGAATTATCTGGTCGTGGGCCTCAACGGGCCTGACTCCAAGACGAACTGATTGGCGGTAAACCGCCAGTCTTAAAATAACTCTGACTTTGACTTTCAGTTGTTGCCTAGTAATGGGTATATGCGTTACAATATATTAGATCATGCTAAAATCATTGAAAAATATAGCAGAACAATGCTATAGGAATTATCGCCAAATTTAAAATCCTCTAAAAGACATATATGAGAGCAGGGCGCAAGAGGAAATGGCTGAGCAAATTTATGTTCGTTTCCTTTCTCTTCCGCGTGTGTTACTTTGTGTTAGGAAATTTTTTCGGGTGAGTGAGTGCACATTTCAATGTAAAACCAACTCGGGTATCTGAGCCTCATTATAAATACTTCAGTGAGTGGAGATTACCTATTTAGAATCTTCTCTATAAATATTCATACAAAAAGCGTACCAAGTTAGATAGTTATTACTGTACTTTGAACTTTGAAATATTACTTAATCAACAAACTTGTCATCCAGTATACTCAAAGTTGCCATTTGCAACCGGACATCGTCTTCTTCATCAGTAGGCTGAGGAAGTGATGTGCTGCAGCGATAAAGGGCGGACTTAAAAAAGCCTAGCATTAATCTTTGTGCTCCACGTCCTACTTTCATGTTCCACAAAATTCGTCTAATATATTAATAATCATCGGTGATATACCTGCACTCAGATGAAAGCCATGCATTTGTCGCCACTTCATAAAGTCAACAAAATGCAAAGTAAAAGTATTTCTACTTGCACAAAGTTCATACCAAGCCTGACTAAAATGTCGAGGTTGACATGTTTAATATTTAGCTATGTTTTTAATTGATAGAAAAATTAAAAGACCCCCAAGAAATAACACACAAACATAAATAAACAAATGAGATATTCTATTCTGAACTAATGAAGTAGAAATTTTTTTTAACCGTAATTAAGTCAGTTTTCATATTTTTATTTTCTGTAAGTGTTAGATAGAGTTCGGGTTGGCGTTCAGACTGATGTACACCATTACTGTCTTTACTTGAGGATTAGCATCCTCACGAGGAAGTGAGCTTTATTCATGAAGCTATGCTGTCGGCAGTTCTGAACATATATCATCGAACGATTTTATGGCTAATGTAAAGGACGTGATGAAATAAGGCAGTGGCCTGTTTCGAAATATTATCCCGGCATATTCCTGGAGTGACTGGTTAAACGCGCTGGGAATCTCAGCCAGGATATCCGGTTGCTAGACTGAGAATTGAACTCGACACTTCCAGCGTACGAATCGGGAATGCCAACCTTTAGAATGCGATATTCAGACTCTTGGTACTGCCGAACAGAATCTGAGAGTCACTAGTCTGGGTTAGCCCCTCGATAGATAAGTGTTAATCAGTCTTGTTGCTTCATCACTGATATGATCACTGCTCTTGCGCCTACCTTTTGTGAAGTGTGACAGTCGAAGGACAAGAGACGCACAACTAATTTTATCAGAAAGACTAGACAAGCTACATCCTGATGTTTGTATTGTTACACAAAGACGTATCGATGGCCTCTTAGTATCTGCATTCATTATCTACATTCAGCAGAGTGACTCTTAAAAAGCTAATAGTTGTTCAAATACTCCGAAAGTCAACACCTTTTATGGAATCCCAAATTTCATTAGTATCTTCATAACAACCTGCACATGGACCTGATCAGGTCTGATGTATGTCTGTTTGTTACATCTGAGATTCTGAAGGCGGAGACTATGACACGAACTGTTTCTTTATAGTGCGATTGTGTTTACAGTATTAGAAATTTACCACCATTTTGGAGGAGCGTGCTTCCTCTATCTTTGGTGAGTGAATTAAGCCAAGAAAATAATACTCTAGATCCACATGGCAAGTTTGCTTCTTATTGATTACACCGACGAGAAGAACAGCTTGTTCCTCAGAAACTTCTGTAGGCTCCATGACGTCATATCAAAGACGGCCGTACTCCTTAGGCTTGTATGAAATCACACATTACTTCGTTACTCTAAGTGTACGGTAGGCGGCGTTTGTCGTAAAACAACCCAGGCCCATTATTCGATAACAAATTAACACGCTTTCACGTCTTCCATAATTAACAATATAATTACATACTCAACACTATACAGACTACATTGTAACCAGCATCTACTGTAGTAAGATTAGCTAGCGAGAATATTGCATACGCCACACTCTGCTACAGCAACTGAACAAATTACCCGAAACAGGCAGTCCACGAATTATGTAATAATTTACATACGCATCATCCTCAACATCATCTACTATAACAACAACGATAAAGATGACAGACAAACATCCATGAAGAAACAAACAAGAGAAAAAAACTGTTAACATCAGACAAAAAGCGAAGTAATGCCTTGTCCAACGTAATCAATTTTACTGCAAAAAAACTTGGTCATTTACGACAATAATATTAAGTTCTATTTATGAATTCTGGCGATACCAGATTTTTATAACAAGTAGTGGGTATGGAATGGGGTCCACTCAGTCTCGTGATGATAATCGAGGGGCTATTTCAAGGAAATAGCGGCTCCGGTCTAGAAAACCGAAATTAACTACTGTGAGGATCCGTTGCGCTGGCCACGCAACACCTTCTATCAGCAAAATTTGGCACTAAATTTCGCCCACAAGCGGCGGTCGCTCGGTCGGTATAGTTCGCTTGCGGACTAAGATCACGAAGTTTGTTTTGTTTTTTGTTATTTATGACAATGAAGCTAGATGAAATCAACAATGTCTTCACAATGTTACAATAGAATCTTAACAACGAACTATAAAGATATATGCAATAGCATCAGTTTTAACTGAACTACTGTACATTTCACTGAGTGCTTTTATCCGATTTGTCCTACATGTAGATTTAGAATAAACTGGAGATAATGGCCATTATGTAGAAATTATAGTAGTCACACTAAAATAAATTGAGTTCAGGCTGATGATAACCGAAAGTGGGATCCACATTCCTAGAATAAAATTTTCTATGTCATCATCATCATCAGTAATCTGTCAGACGACAGCTCCACAGTCTCTTCCAAAACAATTCCTCCATTTAATGCGATCTAGAGCTTTCTCCTTCAAATGACAGTATTCTCTTCTGTCCCCAAGGTCATCCAGCATCTTCTTACGTCTTCTTCCTCGTCTTCTTGTCACTTCTATCCGCCCCTCTATCTTTCTTTCGATAACTTCTTTTAGAAGGCGGTTTCTGCGTAAAACATGACCAATCCAATTACCCTTCCGTTTTCTTATTTCGTGTAGGGTATTCCTCTGCTCACTGACTCTAATTAACACTTCTTCATTTCTCACATAATCGGTCCAAATGATCTTCTCCATCCTTCTCCAACACCGCATTTCGAAACTTTCCAGATGTTTCTGACCTACTGCCCTAAGTGTCCATGTTTCAGCTCATACAGAGCTATGCTCCAAATGTAGCATTTCACTAGTTTCTTCCTCAAATTTAAGTCCAATTTGCTGGTAAAAAGATTCTTCTTCTTGCTAAATGCAGCTTTTGCCATGGCAATCCTGGATTTAATTTCACTAGTACACCNNNNTAGAAGGAATATAATAAGTACAGCAAAATTACCTAAGATCGTCGGTTATAGACGCCGAGGGACAAGCTTTAATGATGCTACGTGATTGTACGTAAACCAGTCTTCATGAATATAGCAGGGAAAGAATGTTGAATCGATATTATCTCTATGCAACTGGATCGAATGTCTGGGACTTCAATTACTTTAATCAGATAATCTCGGTGATATGAAATTTGAATCTCTGACATATATGCCAAAAATTCCCAATATAAACATGTGTTGAGAAATTGGATTTTCCGGTAAACTCGAAGGTCAGTAGATAAATCACAGGTTTATCTGGTTATACCTGATGAGTGACCGCTAACAGTGTATAAAAGGACAGCGAAATTACAGACTGTCAGCAGTAGCACCTAACAACATGCTTCGCTTTCTAGTACTGGCTTCTCTTGTTGTCTACAGCCTTGGTAAGTATTATGTATCCATTACAGTGAATAATGTTAAGGAAATTTTGTGAATTTTATAGGACTTCACTAAATTTCTGAATCCTAAATGGAAATTAGTCGGTCACGGTAGCCGAGAGGTCTAAGGCATGTACTGTCTTGGCTCACACGGAAGCCGGAATCGTGGGTTCGAATCCCAAACAAGGCATGGATATTTCGTGTGTGTATGTGTTGTGTTGTGTTGTGTTGTCCTGCGTTTAGATAGAGGCCTTGCGATGAGCTGATCACCCGTCCAAAGGGTTTTACCGTCTGTAAAAATGATCATGAAACTGAGAATTCAGCTCCATGCTCCAAAGCGGGAGCGAGAGGAGAGAGAGCGAGGAAGAGAGAGAGAAAGAAATGGAAATTAAATTGTAAAGAAATATCGAATGATGATTTTCATAGCGGTACAAGCCTGTGGAAATCTTTTGAAAGGAAAACTCTTTATTCTCAGGCGCTGTCACCCGGCTCAGACGCCCGCGTCTTGATGGCCGAATTGTTGGCGGTGAAGAAGTTGATATCGCCAACTTCCCGTATCAGGTAACACATCCTGATGAAAGAATTCTTTAAGTAGTTAAAGCTGCATGTCCATAACGAAATAATTGTTCTGAAGAGAACTAAACAGTAACATTATTTCCAGCTCTCTTTCGAGTACAGCAACAGCCACAGATGTGGGGCTTCAATCGTCAGCGCGAACTGGGTTGTGACGGCTGCTCACTGTGTTGACGGGTAAGTTTATATTAAAACACTAAAATGTTTACACAGATAGATCAAACAGTAAACAATATCACATAGCTTATATGTAAAACAACATAAATTAATTATTTAAACATTAAATATTAATAAGAGTATAATCTTTAGAATGTGACTCTGAGTAGATTGATAGGGATTTATTGCCGCTTCGGAAGAATTCTCTGCGTCATCCATCAGGGTACAGCGGTAAGGCGAGCATACACGAATACGTCGGAAAATCTCATCTAAATTATAATGCATAATATCGCGGAAGGCAGTACTGCTCTTGGTCAGTCCCATGAGAACCTCAAATCACAAAAATAGAAAGATAATTCGAGATGTCCAAAAATGAGTGCATACATTTTAATAATTTGCATAGATAAAATAAACTCAGGCCGAAAAGTACGGATTTCACCACATGACAGCGGAACTATCAAAGATTTACTTACGAGGCTTGTTCTGTTGAGCTCACATGACTACGCAAAAATGTGCGCATGCGTCAGTTTCAGTGCATTAAAATCCCGGGTGGACATTGTGCGAACAACAAAAGAAGTGAAATGGAGAAAAGTAGGGGAACACTTTCTGGGTAGTGGTTTCATGTGGTGTAAAACTGTACTGTCCTAGATCTCATTATTTTCACAAAAAATATGTTTATAATATGAGCACTTTTTTCTCTGGCCCTCTGTATATTTAAGTGCATGTACCAAAGCGCGAGAAACATTTTTTCACAGAACATTATGAAAATCACTATTTCAAGTAAACACTTATTGGAGACTATAAATTCAATAAAATCCTCCTACAAAAATTTAATTCGTACTTGTAAATCTAAGTGAATATCTGTATTGATAAGGGCGTGAGTAGGTATCGAGTACAAACAAATGATATTTGAAGCCGGATTTATTATCACAAGAAAAATACAATTTTATAAAACAACACAGCCGGGAAAATTCTTGCATGCAGGAGGAGCACCTGGGCAAACCCTCGTGGCACAATTTTGTCATAATTTTACTGGACATAGTAAATAGGCAGAGGATCAAATCGCGTCTAGAGATTCATATTCTGAACACTATTCCTGTAGAGCATATAAGTTCTAACGTTAGCCATCTGTAACAAGAGCAGTTTTGAGCTCTGCATATACAAACACTTGAAGAATAATATAATATATTATGACATGACGCCTGAATGTCGGTATTGCGCAGTCAGGAAAGCAACACAGAGACGTCCATTGCTAGACAACGGCTCGCTAAACACGTTTCCACAGCAGCGGATAAGCACATAATAATAAAGGAGCTGTTGGATGTGGTGATCTCTATCCAGTTCTTCCAGAGGTTCTAAAGGCAGAACAAGCGAGAACACTCAGAGCAGTTAAGTTAATTCGGTCCATTTCAGTAGTTCAGAAGTTTTAAGAGAACTGAGACAAGAGAAAGGGAATGGAACTATTCCTCGGCAATAGATTGATTGTAGTTAAGAGTGACTGTAATAGATATGTCAATAAATCCNTTCAGTTCAGTAGTTCAGAAGTTTTAAGAGAACTGAGACAAGAGAACGGGAATGGAACTATTCCTCGGCAGTAGATTGATTGTAATTAAGAGTGTCTGTAATAGATATGTCAATAAATCTAATCATCCAATCCAACCCGTTATTATTAGTCACGGAAACATGGACACTTGACAATATATTTACGTTAATTCTCTTCAACAGCGCTTCAGCTTCCCGAGTGCAATTCCGGGCCGGAAGCAGCAGAAGGGGAACAGGCGGTTCCCTCCACCCTGCATCTGAGCTGATAGCTAACCCAAAGTACGATTACTATACAATCGATTTTGACATCGCAGTTGCAAGGGTAAGTGTATTTAGTTTATTCTTACACTTCTTGGAAAGGATCATTAGTCATGCGGTGACTACACTGTCACTAAAGCACGACATTACTTTAAAATTAATAATATAATTTGGATTTTGAAGGTAACGTCATTAACTTCTAAGAAACCATTTTGAACTGTTAAACATAATTTGGAAATAAAGATTTAATTAACACAAAGTCACTGGCATATATGTAAAATATGCTTTGCTACAAGGAAGTAAGATTACTCCCTACTCAGTACCATATAAACCATGCACAAACTTGCAATGTTGCAAAGCATGAAAGCTGGGACATACGTATCATAAAGAAGGTGTAATTAGATTTGTTTCATTCTGGTCCCTCACACTATTAAGTTTACAATTAAGTTTATTTCAGTTCAATGTGGCATATAATGCCTTCACCACTTCAGCACTTAGTTACCTAACATGTTTCGATTCTTAATGAATCATCATCAGAGGTATACCTCTACGATCAGGAACCCACAATACGTAATTGTTTTTATAGGACTATATACACTTAAAACATTTATGATGTTCACTGTATGTAGTTGTTAATTTTCTATTGTCGAAATAGATGTTTGACGTAAACTTTTATAAGAAGGACATTCTTGAAATGTATTACTTAGAAGTGTAGTAGTTGCAATCACTTCCATAACACATAGTTTAAAAAAGGTAATTTTCCACTGCACTGTATATAAAATTCAATTTGTTTCGCCTCAGCAGCCTTCCTTTACGTTAAAATTATATTATGAATATGCGTAAAAACTTATTTTTAAGTTAAGAAATTTGTTCGTGAACCAATATGGATCATGTTTTATCTTCCTTAGTAGTAGGAAGTTATGGAAGTGATTGCAACTACTACACTTCTAAGTAATACATTTCAAGAATGTCCTTCTTATAAAAGTTTACGTCAAACATCTATTTCGATAATGGAAAATTAACAACTACATATAGTGAGCATCATAAATGTTTTAAGTGTATAGTCTTATAAAAACAATTACGTATTGGTGGGTTCCTGATGATGATGATGATGATTCATTAAGAATCGAAACATGTTAGGTAACTGTGCTGAAGTGGTGAAGGCATTATATGTCACATTGGACTGAAATAAACTTAATTGTAACGGTGTAATTAGTTACGATTTCAATTACCATTTACTTAGGTATCCGTCTCCTTCACATTTGGAACTGGAATTCAACCAATTGCACTGGCCCGCGAAGCACCTTCTGCCGGTGAGGATTCAGTGGTGAGCGGTTGGGGAACTCTCTCGTCCGGGTCATCATCACTTCCNGTCAGACTGTAGTAGATAGCAGTCATGAGGGGAACTAATGGCTCGGGAAATTTTGATGTCATCAGCAAAAAGCAGACACTTAGAATGGGCAACTGCATCACACCATCATAAATGTTTTAAGTGTATATAGTCTTATAAAACAATTATGTATTGGTGGGTTCCTGATGATGATGATCCATTAAGAATCGAAACATGTTAGGTAACTGTGCTGAAGTGGTGAAGGCATTATATGTCACATTGGACTGAAATAAACTTAATTGTAAAGGTGTAATTAGTTACGATTTCAATTACCATTTACTTAGGTATCCGTCTCCTTCACATTTGGAACTGGAATTCAACCAATTGCACTGGCCCGCGAAGCACCTTCTGCCGGTGAGGATTCAGTGGTGAGCGGTTGGGGAACTCTCTCGTCCGGGTCATCATCACTTCCAACAGTACTCCAAGCGGTGACAGTGAAAATTGTGGCCTCTGCCGACTGCAGTGCCGCCTATGATTCTTACGGTGGAATCACAGAGAATATGATCTGTGCTGCTGTATCTGGTGGAGGCAAGGACGCTTGCCAGGGTGACTCCGGCGGTCCTCTGGTTGCTGGCGGAAATCTTGTCGGTATTGTATCCTGGGGAGTTGGCTGTGCTGAAGCGAATTACCCCGGCGTGTATTCCAACGTTGCAGCTCTCAAGGACTTCGTCACTGAACAAACTGGTGTCAGCTAAACATGCGATGTAAACAGACGTAATTTAAGGGGCAACAAAGTTTGAAGTGTACATTACAGGAAATAAATAAACGTGCTCCACAATTTTGAGGTGTCAGAAGATCAATTTTAATGGCAATGATACCACTTTCCCGACACTAATAACTCGTTCAGCATCCTAGACTTGGGAGTGAATTCAGTATTCCTAACGCTGACAGTCCAAAACCCATTCTAGAAATTGTCTGTCAACATTAAGAACATGTTTTTCACCTTCAGATCCCAACCATTTTGAGTCTGGTATTATCAAAAATAAGATATTATTTCTTGCAAGTATCATTAGGTAAAATACAAAGTTGTCCTTGTGCTTCACTAATTAAGCACTACAACAAGAAGACGTATGACGAAGCGGATGTACAGATCCATGTTTTCTTGACCTTGGAATTTGCTGGAGGTAAATGGTCAGCTTCACTACCCGGCCGCTTTATCCCCGGGGAAAGAGTCCCCGGTACCTACGTGGTAGGAGGTTGGGTGAACTCCAGAGTGGCCTGGACTCTGTAAAGAAGAGAAAATTCTTGACCCTACTGAAACCCGAAATCCGATCCCTCGGACTTCCAGCGCGTAGCCAGTCGCTATACCGACTACGGTATCCCGGCTCCAGGAATTTCACATAGCTGTTTTAATACACAATTAAAAAGTCTTGAAACGAACACTATTGTCTAGCTTGCACTCCAAAATTTTGTTTAAAAAATTAAAAATGGAACTATTGGAAGTGAATCTAGCATTCTTCAAGTTTAATACAAACCCAAGGAGGTCTCCAATTTAAAAAATTCAGGACAAGTGGTATGGTTCGAGATCTAGAGGGTGAAGCACCTTCTGGTCTTGTGTAATGTAGGTTCAATTACAGATCATAACGAGTGTTTGATGGGGACCTACCACATTAAACTTAAAAAATCTATGAAAAAGTTTACTGGAATATTTGCAAAGTCAGTTAACGGCCGCATGCAAACTATGCTTACATGTGCATAATAATAATGTAAAATCGAAATTTCAAAACAAAGATTTGTGGAATACTTTCATATAAAATTTCGAGGAAGGTTCTGTAAAATATATTTTAGGATGCATTTAGAAGTGCGTTTATATCCTCCCGTAAAGTGGACCCTTTTTATGTAACAGTACGGCCGAAGACTAGAACTGTCCAACTCATCTTCGAAGCAGTTCTTTCAAGTCGTACTAATTGAATGGTAAGGGTAGGGCTAAACGGGAATCCGATGTATGAACCTAAACAAATTACGCTTCATTATGGAATTATATGACTCAATTTGCAATTTATAAAACAAATTGCACGAGAGTTTGAGTAGAAGGTCCCTCAACTTACTGGGCGCTTGTCAACATCTGAATGAGCCATCCGGCTCTGTTGAAGATTGGGAATTTCCTTATTGTTTCGGCGGATCTTACCGCCGTGAGAACGCCCCTGTTCTTTGGATCTTTGTAGATACATGTGCTAAATTCAGTAGGGTTTGTTTGCATCAAGTTATATTGTCCTTCAATTGTATGTGGCTTAAATCTTCTTTAATTATATTTCAACGTAATTAATGAAGCCAGATGGAATGAAATGTGTCTTTTAGTATTCTCCGGAATGAAAATTACTGAAGACAATAAAGAAGAGCAATAAACATACTGCTTTGTGGGTGTATGTAATTTAGCTTTTGGGACATTTTATTTCAGTTTTGTCCTACATACTAGTCGGCGATACAGTCCAGGGTCAGCTTTGGCCTTCTCTACAGCCAGTCTCCACTGCTCTCTGTTATTTGAGTTTTACAATTTGTTTTAATTAATGGAACAGTAATATGATCGGTGTTGTGTAGATTTTAAATATACACTCACGTGAAGGAAGATACTCATATGTTAGAGTGCTTCCCAAATAAGGACTACTGAATTATACACATATTGTGCAGAATACAATTGAAGTGTGGTATCAGACAGCACTATGAAAATATGTAAAGCACAATAGACAACTGTAGGTCGCGGTGCAAGGGCCGAGATGGCCCGCCCCTTATACATTCACTCATTCATACACGAAAATATGGAGTGTACATATATATAAGCTCATTCATCAGAAAAAAAAAATTGGTGAATAATTAAAACTACAGCTGTCTTGTCTTAAAAGAAACAATCAATACATTCTTATGCAACAGTACGCTTATCACTGATACTCGTACTTAATGAGATTGGCAAAGCGGTATATCTACAGGCTTGCAGAAAGTTACAGATTAAATTAAATTAAATTAAATCAAATTACTTTAANTAGACCACTGTAGGTCGCGGTGCAAGGGCCGAGAAGGCCCACCCCTTGTACATTCCTTCATTCATTCATGAAAATATGGAGTGTATATATATATATATATGCTCATTTATCAGAAAAAAATGGTGAATAATTAAAACTAAGGCTGTCTGTCTTAAAAGAAACAATCAATACATTCTTATGCAACAGTACGCTTATCACTGATACTCGTACTTAATGAGATTGGCAAAGCGGTATATCTACAGGCTTGCAGAATGTTACAGATTAAGTTAAATTAAATTAAATGAAATTACTTTAGGCTACTATATATTAAATATTCACTGGACACTCTTATGGAATCCTCAAGGAAATAAATATACATGCCTGTATATTGTGTAGTATGCATTACGTGTCTTATTGTAATAAAGCGCTGCTACACGAAATAAAGGAAATCTAATTTGAAAGGAGTTAAAATCTTTTAGGCAACAGTTCTATCCTCATTCACACTCTCTCTCATGAAGTTCTACCAATAAAATAAAATAACCTATACGCCTTTATTAAAAGACAAAGAAAAATACGATTGTTATTAATGACGTCAGTAGTTTTCTTGTGGTTTTATATTGTACNGGCTACTATATATTAAATATTCACTGGACACTCTTATGGAATCCTCAAGGAAATAAATATACATGCCTGTATATTGTGTAGTATGCATTACGTGTCTTATTGTAATAAAGCGCTGCTACACGAAATAAAGGAAATCTAATTTGAAAGGAGTTAAAATCTTTTAGGCAACAGTTCTATCCTCATTCACACGCTCTCTCATGAAGCTCTACCAATAAAATAAAATAACCTATACGCCTTTATTAAAAGATAAACAAAAAACACGATTGTTATAAATGACGTCAGTAGTTTTCATGTGCTTTTATATTGTAGCTCACTGAACTGAATATCTTTTGTATTTCAACTCTGAACCAAGTTTTCTCTTCATGTGGCTCGGGAGTAGCGCATTTCGGCCCGGTACCCTCCTGATCTTCATCCCCCCTTCCCCGAGGCGTCCGAGTATTGACGCATTTGCCGTTTTATGTCCCATCGTCCTATCTACTATGTGATGTTCCCCTTTCTGGATCTGAAATGAAGACCCTTATGAGTGCTTATGAGTAGAGACGCCTTTAGTCCAGTAGTAGGCTGCTTACCGTACCGTTGGTTGGCGAAGAGGGGCATTAAATTGTGTCTGGATTCCTCGCTCCGGTCGATGAGGGCAGCGGCGATGTAAGTTTTTGCATGTTGGGACAAGGTTTTGGGTACTGGATTACCATTAAATTTGCTATTTTTCCAATTATTTGTTTTGAATTGTGTACCCTGTAAATGGGCCACATTGGGATTGGGGTTTGTTTCGTAATATTACGCATAATCTCTCTGAGTTTTCTTTGTCTGTTGTACACAGACGCCTCTGGTGTTATTTGGTTTCCATTTAGGCCTACGAAGGAGGTTTGGGTTTTCATCTTTCGTAATGAAGCATATTTCAGCTACTGAGCATATTGTTCGGAGTAGTTCTGATTCATCTCGTAGTTATTCTGAGTCTTATGTTACTATTTATTGTGTCAAATTGTTATTAATTAATATTTTGTATTCTTTTTTGCTGAAGACAGTGCGGAGATTTCTATGACCTTTTTTCGAGTAGTGTTAGATTACGCTGAGTCTGAACCTCCTATATTCCGCTTAGACTTGCCACCCATTCCATTCAGGGAACAATGTAAACTTAACAACTACGTCAGATATAATGCAGCTTTCGTCCCCCATTTTGTGTAGGGTAAAGACAGAAGTAGTTGAAAAATTATTGAATAAGACACACACACACACAGAATGTTGATCTCATATGTCTATCTTTATTTTTTCAAAATAAGGGAAATATGCTAANATTTTGTATTCTTTTTTGCTGAAGACAGTGCGGAGATTTCTATGACCTTTTTTCGAGTAGTGTTAGATTACGCTGAGTCTGAACCTCCTATATTCCGCTTAGACTTGCCACCCATTCCATTCAGGGAACAATGTAAACTTAACAACTACGTCAGATATANCATAACGTCTCTATGAAGGTTTCCATGACACATACACATATTTTCGTTTCTTCTGTAATTTTTATTCCAGTCTTCTTAAGAATATGTAAGCTTCAATTCAACCTAAAGCGGTTCCATATATTTATCGAAATTTGACATGAGAAATTTCCATGAAAAGGCTTTGTACAGTTCCGCTCCCCAGCTATATTTGTCTATAAAGAGCATAGTTTACACAAACTTTCAATATTCTTTTCCATATATTCGGGAATCCGTTTCAGACATTGAGTTGGAATTTAATATTTTAACTTAACGTCCATATATTTATCGTCCGTTNCGTTTCTTCTGTAATTTTTATTCCAGTCTTCTTAAGAATATGTAAGCTTCAATTCAACCTAAAGCGGTTCCATATATTTATCGAAATTCGACATGAGAAATTTCCATGAAAAGGCTTTGTACAGTTCCGCTCCAACTTAACGTCCATGTATTTATCGTCCGTCAGTATTGCAGCACTTGCTTATTCACTTACTTACTTACTTACTTACTTACTTACTTACTTACTTACTAATGGAGCTGAGCCCTTCTGGAAGAGCCGCCAATTCTGCAGCTACTCAAGAATTTCCCAGCATTATATGGAACCCGAAGGTTCATTACCGTGTTCACAAGAGCCTTCCATTGGTCCATATCCTCAGCCAGATCTATCCAATCTATACCATCCCATCCTACCACTCTAAGATCCATTCTAATATTGTCCACCCACCTACGCCTTGG